AAAAAAAGAGCTGGCCAATTTAAGATTTTTAAAAATGGGTATTTTAGAATGGAACAGATATAGTAGATAATTCTGACACACTTAAAGTCATGCTTTGAATCTCTCTATAGATCAACTAGCTTTATAATAATAATACATATTTTATGTGGCCAAAGATCGCATCTCTAAGCCTTTCATGATTTTAACATCTGTGTAGTACAAGGGTATGCAGATAACAATAAGAAAAGCTTTGAAACACTAGAAAAAAATAGAAATATTGATCCTCTGACAGTGAGTAATTACTGGTCTTCTCAACTAAAGGACAATACATTTTATATCCTAAGAATACTAAATTATTATTTAATACATCTGGGTACAAAAACTATATGTATTTCTCTGCCCGGATACCATTAAACTGGGTAAACTAGGCTATTTGTTGGAGTCTCTGTTGCCAAACAGGAAAACAAAACAAAATAAAACAACAACAACAAAATCAATTATTTCCTTGAGTAATCATGGAGAATGCATACTGTGACAACAGAGCTAACATGTTATTGTCGCCATAAGTCATTGCCATCATTAGTCATAGGATTTCTTCTCTTTGTCTTCCACTGGCATCACCCCGAAATAAAGGGCAACAGCCCTTTATTGATTTCTAACAGGTTTATGTGCAGAATTTACCCTTCTGACTTGAATGAAAGTCCTTTTAAAAGGGAATCAACTTTATTACCTTATATAATACAACTAGTACAAGAAAATTAATGACCTTAATTTGACACAATTGATATTTCAAAGTATTAATGTATTAAAATAACTTTTCTGGGAAATCCTTGGGGAAATCCTCTAAGTGGGGCTTGAGTTTCTCTCCTACCACATAATGATTGTTTTATTTCTCATGGGAACGGATGAAGTTAATGTATTATCATTATTGCCCAGTGCAATAATTTAGGTGTACCAGGATCCAAATTCTTCTTCCCAGAAATAGGCTGCATATCTACAGTGGAGGAGAATGCATTATGTGTATATGTCTCCTATTAGGAGTTGATTTGAGGAGTCTGCAATATTTTAGGTACCAGAGAAGTGTTCAACAACCAAGAGTGCATGTCTAAAGGACATGTACTCTGCTTGAAGTCTTTTGTTTGGGATACTCTGAGAATTAAAAAACAAAACAAAACAAAACAACAACAACGGAAAAGGTTTAAGAAAAAAACTCTTCAAATACAAGTAAGGTGTGGAAGAGAATGACTGAAAGAAAGAAAGGGCAGGGGTGGATGTTCTTTCCAAGCTGAAATTCCACTTGGTTAACATGCAGTGTAATATTAGTTTCAGGTGTAGAATTTAGTGATTCGTCACTTACATATAACATCTGGTGCTCCTCACAAGTGCCCTCCTTGATACCCATCTTAACAGAATACCAGCTAATAAGTGTAAAAAGAATGAGAGCATCAGAAAAATCAGCATTTTATAATCCCAAATCTTCTGATTCACTAAGTATCATCAACCGAAGCTAAATCCATTGAATAAGTTATTGGGGGACAAGACATACACACAGTCGTTAGAGTTTTGCCCCACACATAACTGCTCAATGACAACATTCATATACTTTTACAATGGAGAAACTTGGCAGATGCAGCCTGAACCCCATGACTGAACTTCCTTCACCAAGAGTGGGGCAAAGTGGCATCACTTGCTTCATAATGTGACGCGGCAATCATTACCTTTGTAACTGAAAAATGGCCCTCCTTGAATTTAATCATGAGGAAGCCATCAGACAAATCAGGAATGTGAGACATTCTCTCAGAAAAATGTCCTGGGCTCTTCACAAAGTCAGTGTGAAGGTAATAAAAGGAGACGGAGTGACTATTCTAAATTTAACAAAACTAAGGTATTATACCAACTAAAAATGCAGTGCATGAATACTGATGGGATTCTGGATTGAAACAAAGATGTGCAGGAGCAACAGGGACGACTTGAATATGAAAAGCATGGTAGACGATATTATTGAATTCAATTTAATTTTTAGGGGTGATAATGGTATTGTACCTCTGCAGGAGAATGTCCCTATTTGAGGGATACGCATGCTCAAGTGTTTAAGAGCGAGAGCCCTATGATGATAAGTCTGCAATTTATGTTGAAATGGTTCACCAAGAAAACTATCAAACAATAAGGACATATATTATATAGATTGGAGATAGCGAGCAGAGGTGTGGCAAAATATTAAAAATTGCGAGGGCTATCCAAGCTTTCAATGTACTATTCCTTCAACTTTTCTGAATTTTGAAATCTCTCCATATGAAGAGTCGGTGAGAAAGTTTCTTTTGTTTAGAAATGTTGTTTGCATGATTTAGAAAATACGTTTCACAAAAAATAGGAAAATACTAGTCCCTCAGTGTCGCAAAGCCAAAAAAAAAAAAAAATTGTGAAAGGATGTTACCACAAATGAGTTAATGTATATAACATTAATTAACATTAACAATTTTTAATGGCTTAGAAAAGTGCCTGCCACAGAGTGTGTGCTCTATGCCAATGTTTGATAGAGACATATATGTGTACGTACCCAGCCTGGGCACACAGTTTCTGCCATTAGAAATAAAAGAGATCTGAATATTTAAGCCCATAGCAGTCAAGGGCTGACTATTCTCAGGATTTTGCCCACTTCACTGATAATTCCCCCTCTCCACCCCAGGCCTGTCCCTTTGCTGAGTGAGCCACATAGCAACAGGACTCAGGACCACCTGTATGATTCAAAAAGGATGGTGATATTTTGATCCCATATTTAATAAACAATAAAGGAAGAATAAAACACTACCTAGTCTCTGTCTTTTGACATACTGCCATTTCCACGTCTTAAGTACAATGTGGCCAAGATCTGGACAGCCCAAAGTAAGAACCTCAAAGACACTGTGGAAGTAGGAGCTGATGGTGTTTTCCACATTTATGTGCAAGTCCAAGGTCTTCCACACTCACTTTTCCCCCTCTGCCCTGTACCCAGTAAAACCTTTTTTTTGAATATTTCTTTTTGAAAGAGAGAGAGAGAGAAAGTGCAAACGAGTGAGTGGGGTAGGGACAGAAAGGAAGGGAAACACAGATACTGAAGCAGCTTCCAGGCTCTGAGCTCTCAGCACAGAGTCCAAAGCAGGGCTCGAAGTGACAAAATGTGAGATCGTGACCTGAACTGAAGTCGGACACTCAACCAACTGAGCCACCCAGGTGCCCCCAAATCTCCTTTTTTAATTGTGGTGCCAATAAATGTAATCACAATGAGATGTAAATTTCTAGGAATGTGATCAAATGTTTTCCTTAAGTATTTTCTTTAACTGGCTGACAAAATCTTAATTCAAATGAATGAAGTGTAACGATGGTATTTTGGAAATTAGTAGAGAGGTGTGCCAACAACTTTGAAAGAACAAAGAGAGAGGCCTTTACAGTTATTCCAAAGACCTACTATATAACCCACCTTACCCCTGAATAAATTAATTGTTGCTAATTAATTGTTAAATTAAATTAAATGAAATTAATTGTTGCTAATGTTAATTTTTTTCTTTCCTTTCCAGGGAACTGACAGAAGTCATTGATCTCTCTAGGTTTAAAAAATTAAAATACTTATGGCTACATCACAATAAGGTAGTTCTATGTTATCTTTTAATAGCTCTATAATTAAATCACAATCTTAATTTCATGTTTTTGTTGAAGCTAATCTTTAAAAGTATTAATATTCTATACTCCTAGTTTAAGTAAGAAACAAAATTCTTACGTGATCTGTACCCTCTGGTACTAACAGGTGTGTAAAGTCAACTTTTTTTCTTTTAATGGATTATTCCAAAGGAGGTTTTTTCAAGTCTAATTCCTCTTCGTTGGCCTCTCCCAACTCCTCCTCCCCTTTTATCCCAGTGGTACCTGAAACTGACAGTTTCTGGGCTGTGGCAAACTACTCCCTTGGGCAGGATCCCTTGTAAAGTACCCCAGATCAATATTCCTTCAGTGGTCTGGCATGCACTTCCCAGCACTCACACACCTTTGTCCTCCTGTCAGAAGCCAAGCAGGTGGTCACCTCCCAGTGACCTAAGCCGATCTACTTTCTCAGGAAGTGGCAGACAGTAAGCCACCATGTCCCCAACTGCAGGGAGGTTCACTGAGTATGGCCCTTAAAGGTTCTCTTGGAGGCTAGAGTTTAGGAGGCAGTGCCCTCCCACTGCCTCCCCCATAGTGGGTGCCTGGCTGGGGCTCCAAGTTCTTTCCAAGGCAAAGAGCAGAACTGAACTAAAATGCGAGCTTAGACAATCATCAGTTAGTCAGTTATTCTAAACTTTCAAAAATTTGACTTTCCAACAGCTTGTGTTTTGTTCATTATGAACTGATGATCCAATCTTAACTTTCTGAATTTCGACTTTCAAATACCAGCTGATTAAAAAGAAATAATTTCAGTTTTCAGCAGTAGTCCGCTTGTCAACAGTAGTCCCGACTCAAAGCACAGAATCCCTAAGCAGCCATGTTTATACAAGCATTTCAATATTACATGGCATTTTCAGTCTTCTCTTTTTTTTTCTTAACTAACTAAGTGGGAAATGGAAAATGAAAGTGCTTCTCATATTAAGTGTAAGTATAAGTCTCATGAGCTTGAAATGATTTCTGAGAGAACAAACAAATCACCTTCAAGGCCCAGGCGACTAGCAACTGAAATGGAAAGTGTACGCACCACTTAAGGGCACACAAGTTTAAAACTCTTTTAAACACTCTGCCAAAAATGATCCTGGGTCACAGTGTGCGCCCTCTGATTAGAAAAAGATGGAAATCATCAGAAGCATGGCCAGACTGACTAATCTTTGTTTCTCACATGTGCCTCTTGTGGTGTTCAGCTCTGAAGGAAAGAACGTGTACAAATATCAGCAATGTGTCTACAGGGAAAGATATAATTAGGGTTCTTAAATATCTTTTAGCTTTGTGTTAGTGGACACTATCCCATTTCCAGTCATTGAATTTTCACACAATTGACTTGAGACACATTATATACATAGGAAAGGATGGTACACCCGCTCAACTATGTTACTTTCTTTTGTTTCTGAAGGGCAGTGGGTGGGGAAGGAATGGAGGAGGCTGATTTCTCTTCATGTTCCTGGTTATTTACATTCAACAAACTCACTATATTATTTCCAAAATCATCATCATTTAACTTTGTTCTTTTAAAAAATAGACTTACTTAGTTCATATAACAATGAAAATATATCTTATCCAAAAATCCGGTGTTCATTTGATAAGTAAATGAGCTCCTGTAAGTTTTCCTATTGGTCAATAATTGGCTGGTTGCTAAGCTGCTGAATACTTATAGTCCGTGAAAAATTAAAGCCTTAATTTAGGGGGCACCTGGGTGACTCAGTTGGTTAAACATCTGGCTTCTGCTTAGGTCATGATCTCACGGACAGTGAGTTGAGGCCCCACTTTGGGTGAGCTCAAGCCCTGCTCTGGGCTCTGCACTCTCTCTCCCTCTCTTTATCTCCCTCTGCACCTCATGGGATTGCCTCTCTCTCTGCCCCTTGTTCACTCCTGTGCTCTCTCTCTCTCTCTCTCTCTCAAAAATTAATTAATTTAAAAAAATGAAGTCTTATTCAGGATCCCAAACTCCAATGAACATACTAGCTATGATAGTACTTCAACAAAATCCATATGTAAAATTTTGATTATTACTTTTCTTTATTTTTTATTTAATTTTAATTTTTTTAATGTTTATTTATTTCTGAGAGAGAGAGAGAGACAGAGCATGAACGGGGGAGGGGCAGAGAGAGGGGGAGACACAGAATCTGAAGCAGGCTCCAGGTTCTGGGCTGTCAGCATAAAGCCTGCTGCGGGCTCGAACCCACTAACCATGAGATCATGACCTGAGCCGAAGTCAGACCCTTAACCGACTGAGCCACCCAGGAGCCCCACGATTATTACTTTTCTTTAAAATCTAGATAGCACTAGGATGACCGCAAAGAAGTTAATATACCAGCATTGAAATGATGTGTAAAAATACAGTGAAAAACATCAACACTGACACAGGAATGTAAATATTTAGAATTGCAACATTTTGTTAACAATGACCAGAATCTGTGACTGGCATTGTTCTTACATTAGAGAGTATCTTGAACTACCCTCTATTTAGGAAAAACCAAGGCACAAAGTGGTAAAGTAAAATGAACACATCTTTGTTGTTTACTCTTTTATACTCAAGAATTTTGTTGAGGAATGTGTATTGGATATTATTGGTTGTCCATCCAATATCCATTCTCTCTTTTTACCTAAACAGCAGAATCTGAATTTAGGTTTTGGTACATACTTCTCTTTTTTAATCAGGTAGATGACCCCATCACCAGTTGCAGGGAATGGATCCGATACTGTCTAAGCCAATCGGGATAATCCCATCCTCCTTGTGAGTGGCTAGTCAATGAATGGGCACATAACCCAATTATGGTAATAGAGACAGAGGAGGCATCTGCTAGGAGGCTTCTGTGAGACGTTTCCTCAGTCTTAAAGGGAGCACTAGAAGAGAGGTCCCTTGGTTCCTCGATGATTTCTTGCCTAGATATGAAGCCAGGAACCATGAGAATGTAAGCAACATTTAGAGAAAAGTACAGCCCAGGGACTCATTGTGATACTAGGACTGAGGCTCTCATAGCCTCTGGACTTCTTGGTATGTGGGGTAATAAATGTTCTCATCTATGTGCCAGTTTGAGTTTAGCTCAGAAGTTACCTGAAGCCAAAACATCCTATCTGATGTGTCTCGTTTTGTACTTACGGTTAGGCTACTGATAGAATGTAACAATAAGTGTGATGGTACCTGCTCTAACGATAAAATTAAGAAGGGCAGAGGGAGTGGCTCTCTCTACTCATGGTAAGGGCATGGCATTTGCAAACTACCTGGAATGGAATATGAGAAAGCTATACTCTTAGGAGGCAATGAATGCAGTTTGGTGTATTTGGAACCTAACATGGCTAGAAGCAGGTGTATGTTTCCTCATCATTCTCTAGTGGGTGATAAAACTGGAGCATCTAATCTGACCCTGGACTTGCAGATTCAATAGGTAAAAGTTGCTTCCAATTCCCCAGCTTTCCTAGGTTTGCTCAGGCAACTCTGGTTCCTTTATTACGCTCTCTGAGGGCCCATTTCTTCCTCATACTGCATAGATATTCACTAATTCTGCAGCACCTCCATTTCTGGGTCACCTTTTCTCATCTCTCCTCGTGTAATTAGTGGGAGGTCGCTGCTCTTACATGCACAGTAACCGAGGCCTTTTAAATACTCCCTTCTTTGTCTCATCTTCTAGAATGCCTGACCGAGGGAATTTTAGGTCCACAGCTAATCCTTTCCAACCTTCCATGAGAAGTTGAGTGATTTGCATTTTATACTACAATTTCAAGTGGTCTATACTTTTGATCTTTTTGTGTTTGGGCTCATCACCTCAAAAATTGTTTTTTTAATTCATTCAATAATGAACTCTTTTTTAAAAACATTTTTTTACATTTATTTATTTTTGAGGAACAGAGTGAGACAAAGCATGAGTGGGGGGGGTAGGCAGAGAGAGAAGGAGACACAGAATCTGAAGCAGGCTCCAGGCTCTGAGCAAGCGGTCAGCACAGAACCTGATGCAGGGCTCGAACCCACGAACTGTGAGATCATGACCTGAGCCGAAGTCGGACGCACAACCAACTGAGCCACCCAGGTGCCCCAATAATGAACTCTTAATATTGGTGCCACAATGCTAGTATCCTTTTATTTCTGGAAGAACGGCCAGTAGTTGGGTATATTTCATTTGTCTCAGATTAGAAGAAGCACTTGATGAAAACCCGTATGTTGCTTCACCAAGCAACTGTCAAAATGGAATCTGAGTTTCTGCCATGTAGCAAAGACCAAATAGGTGACACATTTTACAAACTAAATCTAAGTAAAAGTACCTCTTCTGGCAAAGGTATTGTTCATAAACTTCATCATGTAAAAAATAATTGAAATACTTATTTATAATAACATATTCCATAGTAACTAACCAGAGAAAGGTCAGATTAAAATAAGCAAAATTGCTTTGAGAAAGATGCTGGACTCTGGGACACCTGGGTGGCTCACTCGGTTAAGCATCCAACTTTGGCTCATATCATGGTATCAAGATTTGTGAGTTCAAGCCCCACGATGGGCTCTGTGCTGACAGCATGGAGCCTGGAGCCTGCTTCTGATTCTGTGTCTCCCTCTCTCTCTGCCCCTCCCCTGTTCATGTTCTGTCTCTCTCTTTCTCTCTCTCTCTCAAAAATAAATAAACATTAAGAAAGAAAGAAAGAAAGAAAGAAAGATAGATCCTGGACTCATTCTTCTACACCATTAAGATATGTTACTCTTTCCTATCTCCCAAGCATTCAGCACATATTGAGAATTTTGTAAATAGCACAAATTTGATTATTTTAGGAAGGGACATTGATGCTCAAAATTAGCAATTCACAATTTGAAAAAAGAAATAATTATTTTTAATGTGCTGTTTAGAATATTTGTAAAGAGTTCTTGAATTACTACTTTTTTTCAAGTAGCTTTACAACATATATCATGGAATTTTAGTTGGTTCTTTCAATAAGGTTTGGATATATATATTTATATATTCATTTAT